TGTCCGGGATGAGGGCTGGATTGCCCGGGGCCGTCTCCCTACGTCGCTCACACAGTCCTCATCTGGCGGCCCTTGCGTCGATACCAAAGTTCCGAGGTCCCGCAGTGGAACATATACAGTCAGTGATAGAGAACAAATGGGAGTGCCTAAGCATGTAGCGCGTTTGGCTATGATTGCGCATGTATCTGGGACGTGCGGCAGTGCGGGCAGAGCATTGAAAGGTGCCCGGGTATTGCTACACTCCACTCCTGTTCCCGTGCACTTTTGGAGCGATGTGAAACGCTGCAGCTGCGGACTAAATTACCCCACACTCGGCGAGGACCAGGAACCACGAAGATGTGCACAGCAGGGCGCATCGTTGGAATCCCCAATAGGGGGGTAGTATTTGGGCGAAAAATTTGTTTTGATAGTTAATTTTTTCGCTTCACGGACGTTGCAAGGGGGGGGGTCGTATCTTCGTTTTGGCGTTGTAGTAAAGGTAGTTGACTTTTGCAATTTTCCTGTTTCATGCGTGCTATATGCCTCCGCTCGACTGGCTCGATTCGATGAGGAGGAACAGAGGGCCGGAGGTGGGGGGGGGGGGTCGTACAGGTCTCTGAAATCCCCAATGATGTGCTCTGGTGCACCGTCTGTCTTTGAGCAGAATGTCAAATTGTGTTGTTTAGATGGCTGAAAAGCTATACCTTCAACTCGTCCGCGATATGCGAACATTGTATCGTGCGTGTAAACTAGTTCATGCTGATTTGTCCGAGTACAATACTCTTGTTCTTGACGATCGCCTGTTCATTATCGACGTCTCTCAGTCTGTTGAACATGACCATCCACATGCTTTGGATTTCTTGAGATCCGATTGTAACAACGTGTGCAAGTTCTTCAGGTACCATTCCATCAGTTTTTTATTATAGGTGGGAAATATATTCTTATCATCATCGTTGCAGAGGATTAGGGGTACCTGTGCTACCAATAGCCAAGCTTTTTGAGCTCATAGTTGATCCACTCATTGGGGACAACGATGTTGCAAGCTGGTTAGAAAAGCGGTTAGTTTTTTTCATTCTATAAAGGCAACGTAATCTGGAAAATGCTCCTTTCAGAACATTGGATCCATCAGACGATGCTCTTTTCATGAACGCTTTCATTCCTCACAAACTCGATCACGTTCTTCATTTCGAGCGAGACAGTAAATTGTTGAAGGCTGGCGAGGAGGCTAACAATCCGTTCCAGAATATCATCTCAAAGGTGCCAATTTCTGGAAGATCTGTACGCCTCTTGGCCTTTTTCAATCTCGGATGAAGAACTAATTCAGGTCGATGTGTTGGGTCAAGGTTTCATTGAGCGCGGCGTTTCTTCGTCTGATGACGAATCCATTTCGCGAGGCCATTCTGACGATGATGAGAATATCGTAGGAGAGGCGAAGGGGAGGGTCACCAGTGGCAAATACTTCAGGTAATTTGATCTTCATTCAGTCGTGCGCGTATGCTCTTACGCCTATTGACTAGCTTTCGCTTTGATTATTATGCTTGATTCAAAGCCTACAGCCTCTTGCCACTCACAATATCTTTTGAATTTTGCTGTAATTTTTATCATTGTAATAGCAGTTTAATAATACGACTCAGAAGATTTGGTTTCAAAATTTTTGCATTGGGTAAACAAAAAAAAGTTGAATTCCTCGCCATTAATCAATCCCTCTTTTGGCTGAGCTGCACATTATACTTCCATTCAGAATTTCAAAGGCTTAGTGAATGCCATGTGGCCTAGAAAATGACTTGCGGACACCATCCGATACCCGACACCCAAGTCAGTGTTCTTATCCTCCCACACCAAATCTAGAACCAGTTTACTGCCCCTGAAAGGTTTGCTTGGGCTGTAGCCGATCCTGGGTTTCACCTCCGGATCGTGCGCATAGTAAACTTGCCACTTACCATTACTTTACCTCCGCGTCTTGAATGGAAACCATATTACACGTCTTGAATGGAATAGTAACCCTGAAAATCTCTCCCGGAATTCTAACAAGTAGTTAATGAAACGTTTCTGCCAAAGGGAGAAAACAAGATTCAATTTTAGCGACGTGTAATATGGTTGAAAAATCATTGATAATGAAACCAGTTCCCCCATCACATAGCTCCTTACCACTTCGCCATTGCTCTTGCGGAGATATGAAGTGGAATCTCTTCGAATACCTCATTTTTCGACCAATTAGTTCCATCGCGAGAGGGGAACTCTGAGTGCCACTTGGCTTTTTCATACGAACCGACCGCCGACTTTGAGTTTGTCGATACCTTGGCGTAGAGCGATACTCGATATCCTTGCACGTTTTATGGCGAAAGCATTGGTCGTTTGGTAGTTTCGATGTTTTCATTAGCATTCTCACCTTGCTTCCAAATAATTCCACCTGCTGTTTTGTTTTGAAAGCATCCCGATTTCGAGGAGACGTAGAATTAATGGGGAACTCTTGAGATATTGATTTTGCTAGCTTGCAATTCGATTCGCAGTGCTTGGTTTTGAAGAATATGAAAAACATTCCAATAGTTCCATCTGTAATAGCTGGTTCAATGCATTAATGTTTTGGCGGATGTGGTGTAGTGGCAAGTGGCATGATTGCCACACGCACGGTCCAGCGATCAAATCCAGATCGGCTTTCGCTCAGGCCAACCAAGCCTTCCACCCTCCAGTGACGGCGAATTGGTACAAATATGTCTGGGAC